GATCATGGAAAGTTTCTCGGAAGATACTCTCAACAAGGGTTGTGATATATCAAAAACAGGACAAAGGTATAATTCCAGGGTCTCAGCGAGTCCTATTCCTGTCTTTCTAGGAATAAGACCTTGGGAACGAGATTGTTACTGTCAACTACTTTGCTTGAGGACCCTTGAGGATGCCTTTGAGAGGAAAAGCCCCAGTGGAAATACTTTCAGCAGCAGGGCATCTTAGTTAATTGAAATCTGTTTCCATATGAGGACTCAGAATTTTTCCTTTGTCCCATGAAAAACACCTTTCTCTATACTTTCTTCATTTGTAAAATTTACAGAAAAGAAACTTACCACAATAGGTATGTAGTGTTGATGATAGTTTTCATGTAATTTCTTCACAAAATCTCCAAGCCCACCCCATTTGCTTTGATCCACAGTGAAATCCAAGTGTCTGTCCATATATTCGATATCATTCCATTGGACATCCTGTGGAATCCCATACCTCCTCATGTTTGCATTCACTGTTTCAGTGCCATTTAAACTCCCATATCCCCAGCGACAAAGGTGAAATCCAAGACCCCAATATGGTGGCATGGTTGGTCTTCCTACAACCTAATTATATTTCACAAGAAGTAGTGATCTCAGTGGCTAGCTAGCTAGGTTAAAGTCAATAGACCTTAAATGGTAATTGATCCTTGCAGAAAGAAATTGATGCAAATAAATTTTAAGTCTGAGAAATAATTGAGGCCTTCATTATTTTAACTGGTACATTAACCTCCCAGACCCAATTATAAGTTAAGCACTAACTATGTACTTCACCAACTGAGCTATGATATAAGTCACATTTGGAGAAAGAGGCCAATTCTAGGTTATACTTTCTCTCCAATAATAATAGCTGAAATAGTATTTGAACTGAGTCATACAGAGTCAAACTATACTCTACATGTGAAAAATTGATTCTCTCTCGTGTTGGACTGGCATTTTCCATAGCTAACTTGTTTACCTCCTATATATCAAATGGAATTTTTAACCACTCTAGGTTTAAGTAAACTGTGTGTTGAACATTATTCACTATGGGCCACAATTAAATCTACAGGATTATTGTTCACTGGTACAGTAATTGTGTCACCTGAGAGAGTCATGCAATTTTATGTTTTTTTAGTTAGTCATTAGATTAATCCATTAATTAATAGTTGATTTATTTTGTGTTACAAAATTTCCATAAGACTCAAATCAATCATACTTCTGTATACTGCTGGACGACTAGATCTGGGGTAGGCCCAAGGAAAATGTAAAAGTCCAATTTTCCTCCAATTGTCCTGAATGTTATGGCAGGTGTAGGCTGAAGAACAATGTCTGTGGGTTGGAATAATTTAGACACAATTTATTTTGGATATATCAACAAAGTTGAAATGGTAAATTGGCCACCGTAACGATTATATACAAAAGCTGACGTTTCGAGCGTTAGCCCTTCGTCGGAGCGTTACGGTGCCCAATTTATCATTTCAACTTTGTTGATATATCCAAATTATTTCATTACCCCCACCAACGTAGCCCCAAACAGTTTCTTTAGAAACTATCAGCCTTTAGACAATTTAGTTGCCAACAAGTGATCATAAAAGCATGCACTTTCAGGATGTAAAGAAAGAACCATGAAGTCCAAATCAAACAGTCAAGTAGTTTATGCCTTTGTCATGACTGCTAAGAGTGACTAGCAACTAATTTCTCCTTACAATATCACCCCTGAATCGCATGTTAACGTCATGAGAATTAAAAAAAAATGACCACCAACTAAAGAGGCTCTTGATTATTAAACAAATTCTCCTTGTCAGCACCTTAAGTAGGAAATACTGTATATGGAGAAAAGTGTGGAGAATATTGATACTGACACTGGGGTTTAATGGGATAAGTAATGATAATTATTCAATTCAAGGCCATTCAGCAGCCTTTGAGAAGCATCATATGGAGCCTTTTATACCTTGCTTGTGTATATTATAACTGCTCTGGCTTGTGAATTCTATAAAAGCTGGGAGTACCTCAGTTTCTCAAACAAGGGCCTTTAGAGACCCCAAGATCCTTCTTGAATTACAACTTTGATGCTTACATTCAGCATTTTACTTAATGAATGACGATTCAAATGGGTGAGACAAGCAAGATTCTAAATCCATCATGAATCTTGAGTTTGAGAATAATCATGTCACTGCATGATGAAAGTTTCCAGTAAGAGCTAGTGCATGATTAACTATTAGTTAAATATTTATACCCACCTTCATTCAAGCCTTAAGGTTAAGATACAATATACATACCCATAGCATTACTGTTCAAAAGAAAGACTCCATTGGCGTTTCCATCTCTTTCCAATGAAACATAAAACGGATGAACACCATATAGATTGTAATTGAACCCCTAAAAATAGAGTTCAGAAAAAAAAAGTCCTCTGGCTGAAATCCTAATTAACAAATGGCAAACACCACAGCCTACACTATTGAGTTATGGATGCACTTGC